TTTTTTTCAGTCACGACGATCATATCCTTACAAACCGCCATTCGGTGAACTTGTCGATAGTGATCCATCATTTGCCGAGATGGAGAAAATTGTTTGTGGAGCCAATGGCAAGCGACCACCACTGGAACCATCATGGACCAATGGCAGCAATGTGGGCGGAGCTTTTGTTTTTCGTAATGTTTTTTTCGTAGCTTTGTTAACTACTTTATTATTATACTTCGAAATTTTCTGAATATTTCCAGATTCATCTACAAAAAATGGTCGGGTTGATGGTAGATTGCTGGCATCATTCGCCCCATTGCCGCCATACAGCTCTTAAAGTGAAAATTGCACTCGGCGAGGTCATAGACGATTTAAAAGCTCTTCAGGTAATAGTCGATAGTTAAGTGTCTTTTGTGATTGGCTGGCTCCGCCCACTTCCCCTAAATTTTCCGAACTCATATTTGTTAAGGAACGTGAAGCAAAGGAGCGGATATCCTCGCAAACGATGAAAGTCATCGATGAGGAGGTTGCATTTGATTTTCCGCGAAGAAGTCCCAACTCTCCAACAAAGAAGAGAGACGCTTCTACGTACCTCGCCACTTGCTAATTGGGAAATCTTATTTTTTACCTAATTTTTGTAAAAATTCTTGAATTTGCATTATTTTGGGTCTCGACTTAATGTCAGTTTATTACGTGGGTATTGTTGGATACACAATATTTTTGCAATGGTATAATAGTTGTAAAAATCCCCTTTTTGTTCTCACGAAGAAGGTATTTTTGATTTTTTTTTGAAATTTCAATTAAAAACAACTTTTCTTTTGATAATGTATTTTGGCTCGCAACAGTAACTCATCTGTCCCATAAATTTCCTCATCTGTTTGTTTCCTATAGCAATTAGACTGCAAATATTTCATAAATTCATCAAAATTTAACATGCATTACCATAATTTTTATAAAAATGGATTATTATTAATAGAAAAAAAAGTTTTGTATCTTTTGTTCTTGAGGCGAATCAGTTTGGGCTCCATACCACAATACTTTCGTGATTTATGGTCGAATGGTATCACAACATCTCAACTACATTTATTTGACATGCTCGTTGCAAAAAAAAACTCTCCATTCAGTACCGTATTACCTTTCAGAAATAAATTAGTTGTGCGTAGCGGGAAGTCTTAGATCCGTTTCATATTTCCTAAATAAGGATTGGCGCCTGACCGGCGTTTAAGGCACTGCCAGCCCTTCCTCGGAGGCTGCTCGCGCGGCTACGATTGCCGTTGACTCAATACATTTTACCATTCACCATGAGAATCTACCAAACAACCCTCAGTCCTCCATCGATCAAGCACGGTACTACCCTGCAGTTGATTCGGTGACTTTAAAATTGAAAAGCTATCAAATATTCAGCTTTTTCTTGCAACATAACAGTCAGGAATCAAGCTCTTGATCTTACAACGCCTGCTGGAGAGAGAGAGAGATCTGGTCGCGCTTTGCCTATTTATGACTGAAAAGGGAAAACAGCTCTTCCTTTCACTTTTCTTTGAGTCCAGGCCCATATAGAGCTGGGTTCCATAAAATCTCGCCTAGCTTTTTGTGTTCGAAGGCTCTACTCCAAACCCTAGATAATCAAATCTTCACCTTTGCACGAAACTAGAGGAAAATGGAACAATTGTGCATTAGTATTCTCATTT